AGAAGAAGAAACTGATGATGAAAAGAAGAAGAAGAAGAAGAAAAAGAAAAAAAATGAGGAAGAAAAAAATAAGGAGAAAAAAAATAAAAAATAAAACTGTCGTTGATTACTTAATTGCGTGACGGGAACGACGGCGATGACAAGGACGGTGCGGCGCAGCGAGCAGGACGATGGGCACGGTGATGATGACGTGGCACGACAACGGCGATCCCGTCGATGACGATGATGACGGGGCACAATGACGACGATCGCGATGATGACGATGATGACGTGGCATGGCAACGACGACCTCGACGATGATGTTGATGATGGCCGGTGACGACGTCAAAGTAGGGTGGGTCGGGCGGGTTCGAACCGCTCCAATACCAGTGTAACGAGCGTGAGGCTGAGGGTGAGCCGAAGGAGAGGAGAGAGAGGGAGAGAGTGAGAGCACACACACACACTCACTCGACATGACAGACTCGGACTGAGGGTCGGACGCAGACACAGTGGCAAGGCACAAAGTCGAAGTCTTGGATTCCGAATGCCGAAACAGCAAGTCACACTGAGTGCGAGTACAGTCGCAGAGAACTGGTACGAGACTGCCCACGTACCGTACGGGGGCCGGTATAAGTACCGGTGACACGTACGGTACTAGGGGCATTTATGCAAAGGCCCCCGAGGGCAGAACTGAAAAATGCAGTATTTGAAAGTGGCGCCCGAATTGCAGCATGGTGCCAGTTGTCCGAAATCCTACGGTATCAAAGGAGGAGTTTGGAAAAAGGGCGCCAGGCCGAAAACGGGATGCAGCTGAAACAGCAAAAAGATAGACCAGGGATCGAGCCCTGGCGAAGTCCGTAACACAGAGCGTGTTTTGTGGTGACCCGGACCATGTTATCAAATTTTGTCCTAAGTATAGACAGGCCCGATGGGCTGCCCAACAATCAAAAGGCAGCCGTCAGTAGGGGTCGCAACTGCCCCTACTTCAAGGCCATGTGGGGAGGCGAGCGCGCGAGAATAGGTAACTCCCACACCACATGAGCCTATGGCAGAGGTTGCAGGCCAGTGCCTAGCGAGCTGTCCAGAGACTGCTTGTGTTAGCGTCTCTCTAGGCACTTCCCTCATAGGCGTGGCAGAAGAGTTGAAGGAGAGGATGACAGCTAATTTTAGTTGATGTAGAAGTTTTCAGGAATAGAGTAGGGGCCCTTATAGATTCAGGGGCTACCCGTAGTTATATTAGCCGTATGCGCTGAAGAAGTTGAGGCTAGGATTGAAAGTCCAAAAGTTGGCAGACCCCACAGTCAGTGTCCTTGCAGACAACCGCACTATGCGTGTTGAGGACTACGTAGAGGGAGTCCAGGCGTTTTTTCGCCTAGAGAAAGATGGGAAGGTGAAGAAAGTTCTCCATTCCCTGACTCTCCTCGTGCAGGACGACCTCCCTTTTGACATAGTGTTAGGAATGGATTGGGGAGAGGCAGCAGGGGCCACACTCCACTTGAGAGAGCATGAGTGTAGGCTCCCTAGTCCGTCAGGCGAGGTTAAGATTGCCCGCCTGTTTCATGTGTCAGGTGTAGACAACACTCTGGCACATGGTCGTCTCATTGCTCCCGCGTTCGCACGAATAGTAAAGAAGGAGCAGCTGGAGGACCAGGTCTTTGTAGTATATGTCAGACCTGTCACTGAGCCTAAGGAAGGGGATAGTTCCACGGATCCAACCATTGCCAAACTGCTGGAGGAGTTCAAAGATTTAACTGAGTCGCTGACAGGAGTGGTGCCGCGACCAATACAGCAGAGAATACAAATAGAGCGTGGCGGTAGAACTCCTAAGGGAGCAGTCTACAAGATGTCCCCTAGAGAGTTAGAGGAGCTGCGCAAGCAGTTGGACGAGCTCCTGGAAAAAGGTTGGATTAGGCCAAGTTCGTCTCCTTTCAGAGCTTTAGTTTTGTTTGTCCCCAAGAAGGAGGGAGAGTTGCGTATGTGCATAGACTACAGGGGTTTGAATGCCATCACAGTGAAGAATGCTGAGCCGCTGCCTAGGATAGACGATCTCTTAGATCGGGTGCAGGGGTGCAAATACTTTTCAAAGATAGATTTAAAGTTCGGGTATCATCAGATAGAGGTCCATCGTGATGACCAATACAAGACTGCGTTCCGGACTAGATATGGGCACTATGAATTTATAGTGATGCCCTTTGGACTGACCAACGCGCCAGCTACATTTCAGCTATGTATGAACGACCTGTTTAGGCCATGGTTAGACAAGTTTGTAGTAGTTTATTTAGATGATATATTAGTTTTCAGCAGGACCCTCCATGAGCATCAGGGTCATTTGAGGCAGGTCTTGGAGAAGCTGAGAGAAGCTAACTTCAAGATTAACCCGAAGAAGTGCGAGTGGGCCAAGACACAAGTCCTGTACTTGGGCCACGTCTTAGATGGAGATGGCATTAAGCCTGAGGACAGCAAGATAGCGGCAACTAGAGATTGGTCGACGCCCCGCACATTGACAGAGCTGCAGGCGTTTCTAGGCCTACCTAATTACTACAGGAAGTTCGTAAGGAACTTCTCGACTATCGCCGCTCCCCTTCGCCGGTTGCTAAAGAAAGAGGCAATCTGGCAATGGGACAAAGATTGAACGTCTGCACTAAGGAAGTTAAAGCGCGCGTTGATAGAATATCCTGTCCTCAAAGTAGCAGATCCGTCCTTTGCCATTTGTCGTTACCACGGACACGAGTCAGTATGGAATTGGCGTCGTGTTACAGCAGGACGACGACAATGGCTATAGACCCGTAGAGTTCATGTCAGCGAGGATGCCTTCAGAGAAAGTAACCACCTCGACGTATGAGAGAGAACTCTACGCTCTCAGGCAGGCCTTAGAGCATTGGAAACATTACCTGCTTGGGAGGCACTTCAAAGTACACTCAGACCACAAAGCTCTTAAATGGTTAAAGACCCAGGCCAAAATGACACCTAAGTTGACTAGGTGGGCCGCTGAGATAGACCAATACGACTTTGAGCTCAAGCCGGTCAAAGGCAAGTACAACGTAGTTGCAATGCTCTAAGTAGGAGGTTAGACTACTTTGGAGCTATAGTACACTATTTGGATATAGGGAAGGACCTGCAAGAGAAAGTTAGACAGGCGTATGCGCAGGACCCTATCTATAGCGACCTCCTCAGGAGAGTTAAGGAGGCCCCAAAGATTGAACCACACTACCGCACTACAAAAGGATTGTTGTTTGAGAAGACTGATGTAGTAGACCGCCTGTGCGTCCGCAATAGTGAGGAGATCCGTAGCCTAATCCTAGGGGAATGCCATGACACAGAGGGACACTTCGGTTGGCAGAAGACTTTAGCCAATCTGATGAGTGCATATACTTGGCCAGGAATGAAAGCTGACTGCATAGAGTATCTTCGCAGTTGCAAACTTTGCCAGAGGAACAAGACCACTACGCGTGCCCCTCTAGGTCTTCTCGGACCCTTGCCTATCCCAGACCAACCTGGAGATTCAGTCTCCATTGAGTTCATGGACGCAGGTGTCAAGAGTAGGCACGACAAAAGCCAAGTCAGGTCATAGTTGATAGATTCAGTAAATATGCAGTTTTTGTTCCTTTGCCTACAGAGGCACGTACCGAGTTAGTAATTCATAAGTTTTTCGATTTTTGGGTCAGTGATCACGGGGTTCCATTGTCTATTGTTAGTGATAGAGACACCCGCTTCACCAGCCATAACTGGCAGGAACTGATGAAAGTCTATGGGTCAAAGTTGTTAATGTCATCTGGCCGTCATCCAGAGACTAACGGTCAGACAGAACAAATGAACAAGATCTTGCAGCAAGTTCTGCGCATGTATATTAGACCGGATCAAGTCAATTGGGACGAGATGTTGCCCAAGGTAGCCAGCGCATACAATAACAGCGTGCATTTGTCTACCTGTCGCACTCCCAACGAGTTGCACAAATCCTTTAGACCCCGCAGACCGTTTGAGGGACTTACCCGGGATCAGATTCACAGGCTACCGCCCGGAACCAGGGAGTTTGCGATACATCACGAGAGAGAGCTAGCTACAGTTGTTGAAAACCTCAGGAAGGCCCAGCATCGAATGATAGAACAGGCAAACAAGCACCGTCGCCCGTCTCAATTTCAAGTAGGCGACTTAGTCCGGGTCAAGTCCAAAGAGTTTGCTCCTGAGGAGAACATTTCGCAGAAGTTACTGCCAGCGTATAGAGGACCGTGGCCAGTTCTAGAAGTCAAGGGCGGAGAGGATGGACTGTCCTACACAATAGAGATCCCAGCACACCTCCACACCTATCCTGTATTCCATGCATCAAAGATATTGCCGTGTGTCACAAGTCAACAGTTCCCTTCAAGAAGATCCATGATCCCTCCGGATATGGATGGAAGATATGACATTGGCGACATTGGAGATGAAGATGTGTTTAGGACAGGAGGTAGAGGTCGTCCACAGAAACAGTATAAGGTCTGGTTTGCTTATCAGGAACCGGAAGACGACCGCTGGTTTACTAAAACAGAACTTCTAGAAACAGCTCCCGACATAGTCAGAGCCTATGAGCGTGATAAGAAGGGTAAAGGTCCTGCCTTGGACTGAGATATTCTCGGAGGACCTCAAATTTAGGACGGCGGGAGTGAAACGGTTTTCCCTTTTTTCAGTAGCAGATGCAGATCCCAGGGCTCGATCCCTAGTCCTTACCCCACCGTGTACAGGACCTGTGTATACCTCGAGAGTTGAACCCGTGACCTGTGTACTCGTAAGCAACTGGTAGGCTGTCATAGGTCCGTAGGTTGTAGGGGTTCGATCTGTAGGTCTGTCAAATAGTAGTCTTAGTGAAGTCTAGAAGTCTTAGCTGTAGTCTTCTAGAAGGTCGGCAAGTGGGCAAGTGGTGAGCCAAGTGGTAGACTAACTGCAGTACCCCAGTAGGTTAACAGTGAGTCTCCAAGCAGTCAGCGGTGCAGTTCAGTCAGTCCCAGTCCAGTCCAGCAAGTACCATGAGGGACTGTGTGCACCATGGGCCTTAGCTGTAGTCTTCTAGAAGGTCGGCAAGTGGGCAAGTGGGCAAGTGGTGAGCCAAGTGGTAGACTAACTGCAGTACCCAGTAGGTTAGCAGAGAGTCTCCAAGCAGTCAGCGGTGCAGTTCAGTCAGTCCCAGTTCAGTCCAGCAAGTACCATGAGGGACTGTGTGCACCATGGGCCGATGGAAAGGGCCAGACCAACGAGCTGCAGAAGTATAAATCAAGAGGCAGCGCCCAGCCATTCATTCATTCCTGCGTGAGCCATGCGGAAGCGCTGCCACAGCGACTTGTGCAAGGAGGTCTGCAGTGACGCCCGAAGACGAAGTGGGCAGAGAGACGAAGCTTAGCCATAGCGATAGGGTAAAGGTGGCCATAGCCACCATAGCTGTAGTTAGTATTCAGCGTGTGTGTGTGTGTGAGCGCTCAGGGACGCGTGTGGGATATCCAGGGTGATCCACTGTATGCGAACAGAGAGTTGTATGGGCGCTATATCGCCATAGCCATTGGAAGTGAACTCCTATCTGGGTTGCCATATCTCTGAGTTTTGAGTGGGCGCATGTCGTCAGTTTGCTGCGCTACTGTTTGCATGCATGTAAAGTGTGAATGAAAGCAAGTCTGATTGCACCTGTCTCTCATTCAACCTGGTGGCGAAGGTCCAAACTTTTAATTCGGAGAGATGCAAGTAGATGTACCACTTTCATTTTTCAAGAGGCCTGTACCGGTCACCTAGGCTCAGCAAAATGCATGTTTTGGTTTGTCAATTTAGCCTCAGGTGAACTGATGATTTGAAGTAATTGAGGTATTTAGCCTCTTGTTCTGTAAACCACCAGTACGTTTGGGCCTCTTTTTCTCAATGTGGATTGTGCTGCATGCCAATAAAAGACAAACCGGCTCGGGCACATTTTCTATTTTGTTTGCCTGGCACCACCAGCCATCTTGGTCTGCTAGGCGAAGCGTCGGAGGATGTGGCGCATTAACAGCCGTGCCGGAACAAAATAACAGGAAAATGGTACTGGTGGTTTACTCAAATTCTGACTTGCCAGTTCTCCAGTTCCTCTTCGACTCCGGTTCGTCCACAAATCTTTCAAGGGAGTGGAAAGGTGGTGAATGGCGGTGTGGGGCTTGGGACAGGGAGGGAGAAAAGGAGTTTGACCAATGAGACATGCAAGAACCACCTGGACATTTGGGTGGCGGTCATACACACATTGATATGTCCATTTTCGACATGGGTCTGTCATGTACCTCAATTGATCATCTCACTTGATTGACATGAGATCACACTTCATTGCAACTCCACAGAAAATCGGAATTGAACAATGACTCCCAAAATAGTTTATGAAACCAGAAAAAGGTGATCTGGAATTGAGTGCCCTGCCTCCTTGAGCAACAGGCAACAATCGAATCAAGAAACGGTCCTGTAAGGACCTGTCCGAACACGGACTGAGAACACAGTTGTGATATGGTTTTCACCTTTGCAGTAGCAGATGCAGATCCCAGGGCTCGATCCCTAGACCTCACCTCACCCGTGTATAGTACCCCTGTGTGTTTGTACCTGTGACCTGCGTTTTAGGAGTCAGTTGTTGTCTGTCGTAGGTCGATGTAGCTGTCGGGTCTTGAACAGTGGGTCTGTCGAGTAGGGGTCATAGTTGTGTAGAGGCCGTAGCTGTAGCAATTCTGAAAGGTCAAGGTCGTAGCTGCTACAGTCCCGAAAGGCCAAGTCCGCAGGCTTCCGAAAGGTCCGGAAGTGGCCTTTCGAACTTCGCTCACAGCAGACCAGAGGCAAGTGGGTAAGTGGTGAGTCCAACATGTGGGACTCACTTTGCTTAGTCAGTGGTACCCAGTCCCAGTTGCACCTAGTCCAGTCAGCAAGTACCATGTGGGACTGTGTGCACCAAGCGCCCGGTGGAAAAGGGGCAGACCAGCGACCAACAGAAGTATAAATCAAGAGGCAGCATCCAGCCATTCATTCATTCCTGCGTGAGCCATGCGGAAGCGCTGCCCAGGCGACTTGTGCGAGGTGGTCTGCAGATGCCGGAAGTTGAAGTGGGTTGAAGGAAGGAGATGGCATCCAGTGTTAGTGGTAGTGAGCGGCCATAGTCGCCATAGGTTAAAGTTAGTGTGCTAGTGAGTGAGTGAGTGTGTCTGAAGTGCAAAGTGAGTGTGTGTGGGATATCCAGGGAGATCAGGAGTTAAGTGCGCATGTAAACAGTTGATGTAAACACTGAGTTGATGCGTGAAGTGATAGCCAATCTGAAGCAAGTTTGTATCTGAATCGTCTGGGCGCCCAGCGCCAGTGTGTTCTGCCATCTGTTGCATGCATGCGAAGTGAGAAGAAAGCGAGTCTATTTCATTGGTATCAGAGCTGGTTCCCACTATTCCACGCGCCATAGAAGAAGTGCGCCGACGAAGAAGAGTCCGCCATAGCCGCTCCGCGGGAGGAAGGTGATGCGCACCTGCAAAAGATAACGAGAGAGAGAGAGAGAGAGAGAGAGAGAGAGAGAGAGAGAGAGAGACAAGATTGGTTGTGTGGTTCAAGGAAGGAGTGGCGGCCATAGTCGCCGAGCTCGGACACGGAGTTAACGAGGAAGGAAGAAGATTGAGTAAGGTGGAGGGAGAGACCAAGGTTAGAGAGAAGCCATAGTCGAGGAAGAAGAAGGGAGAGACGAAGGAGGAAGGAGAAAGACATAGCCGGGGTGGAGAAAGAAAGTGAGAAAGAAGGAAGGAGGGAAAAGGTGAATATCGAAGGTTGGTGAGAGAGAAAGGGGTCGGCAGCCATAGCCGAGTTGAACGTGGACCAAGGTGTTGGCCGAAGAGTTTACCGGAGTTTATCGAAGCGTTAACCGAGGCGTTGACTAGGGTTGACCGAGGCATTGACCGGGAAGTTGACCGAGGTTGACCGAGGTGTTGATTGATGGGTTGATCGTAGTTGACCAAGGTGTTGACCGGGAAGTTGACCAGTGTTGACCAGCATTGACCGAAGTTGTTGACCACAAATTTGACCAAGCTGGAGTTGGTATATTCTCGCCAAGCCTTCAACCTATCCCCTCGCCCTATGGATGTGCACTCAACCATGGTACTCGCTGAGTCTGTCTGACTCTTCTTTCTGCATTGAGTCTCTTTTGTCGAGGTGATAGGACCTCCGTGTATGTGGTCGTAGAGTTGTGTTGACCAAACCCACACGGGCTGAGTAGAGCTAAAGGTCATGTCTGACGACTGACTGACCCGAAGGACAAACCCTACCAAGGACCGGTACAGACCGGCCGGCTGCTCAGTTTGGCATGGCAGGCCTAAAATCCGAGTTGCGGGCTGCACAACCAGCTGTCTAAGTCGTGAGAGGACTTGCTGATCGCGTCGTCATGTCTGCGACATTAAATAATTCCTGAGGAATTACGGGGGATCTCCTTAAATGCGCCAGGGTCAGCATTGAAGTCCTGTAGTGACAACTTTAGCATGAGGTCCAAGCTAAAGACCATAGCTGACAGGGTCCTATACGGATCCTGTAGTCCTTAGACAGTCAGTCGGTCAGTCAAGTGGGTAGGTCTAACTGGTGACGAGTGGGACAGTTACTGTCGTGCACCCAACACCATGGATGACTACCCTATGTATGGCTTGCTCGTGGGGTTCTCCCTTTGGGGACCATCTGGCGATTCATGTTCCCGCTAGGATTTTGGAACACTTTTACGTGTAGAGTGGAGATGAGGGGTGGAACTGGGACCACTCCTTATACAAAGGAGCAGGAAGAAGAGGCCACCAAGATTCTGCCCAAGCAAAAGGCTAGGAACGAGAAGAGGGAAGTTGTGAAGCAGGCCAAAAAGTTGGCTTTACTGGACGAGCAAGCCGCCAAGAAGAAGAAGTTGGAGGAGGAGCTAGAAAGATTGAAGAGGAAAGAAGAGGCAAAGTTGAAGGCAGTGGAAGAAGAAGAAGAAGGAAAAAAAAAAAAGGGTGGAAGAAGACGTCCCCTTGATAAGGAAGGTGGTAAGAGAAAGGGGGGAGTCCAATGGCACGAAGGAGGAGGAGGACCCATGGTTGGAAAAGAAGGTGTCTGAGTGGGTTATCCTTGGAGTGGCACGAGGGCTGAACAAGAAGCAGTGGTGAAAGAATAGGAGGCGGAAGAAGACCCTCTACGTCCCAGATGCTTGAAGAAGAGAAGAAGCTAGAACGGAAGTTGCGTCTGACCAGGAAGAAAAAGAAGAGAATGGAGGAGGTCAGTAAGGTGGTAAAAGAGTTGGAGGCAGTGAAGGAGCAGAGATGGCAAAAAATATAGAACTCCTCGCAAGGGCCCAGGAAGAGCAGTACTAGTTTGCTAGAAGCCAGGATGTAGCCTTGCGATCCATACGTGTATGTTTCAGGGAGTTCGCACGTGAGATGATGATGCACGTGGGCACGAAAGTAAAGGCAAGGACAGAGATCACAAAACGATTCTGCACCGGCGCCATAGAGGGTGCCAAGTTAGCAGCTCCAAGGGAGGAGGAAGCACGTACCCGTAGGGATACAGTTAAGGTTAAGTTTCCTGATTCCTATAGCGGGAAGAAGGAAGAGAATTTCGATAACTGTGAGGCGAACGTCAATTCGTACGTTCACATGCAAAAGATCCTACTCGAGGAGCAAGTTCTAATAGTTTTCCATGCCCTCAGGTTCGAGGCAGCAAGTTTCGCCCGATCGCTTGCCCGCGCTGCTGGATGCGAGAATGATATGGTAGCCTACTCTGCGAAAACCTCCGTGAGTGCGTTCTTCAAGTTGCTGCGCGAGACATTTGTTGATGTTACTAGAGGGATTAGGGCCTCTGATAAGTTGCAAACAATCCACTCTCGCCAATGGAGTGCTAGGGCACTCGAGGGCGTAATGGATGGGTGAATCGATGTCCCTGACCATGGGGTCATGGAGACCCAACTGGTCAAATTATTTTATTGTGCCATACTCGAGCCGTTGCGCGGACACTTCTTTGAAAAGAGCAAGGAGCCTGCCATGACCTACGATATTCTGAGTAGGGAAGTGGTAGCTTTCGAGGCGCAGTCCATGCTAGTTTCCACTTTTTGGCATAAGGACCTTGATAAGGGCAAAAAGTGGAAGGGTCGTACCATCTCAGGCCAAGTCTGGGCCAAGGATCACTTAAGATGAAGGGTGGTATGAAAAGGTCCCCTACGATTAGATTGAGTGGGTCCTCGAGGAGGAGGACAGTAGTGTGAGTCAGGGGAGTACTTATGCTGCTGTCGCGGCTGGAGGGAGGCTGCAAGGAAGAGGAGGAGGTCGGGGCCAAGGCGGCCAGGCTTTCGGTGGTCTAGGACAGAGCGATCAGGAGGGGTGGATGACACCCTGGCTTGCCACAAGGCAGGCCCTGGGAAGATTTGGGCCTAGAGCAGACAGTGTGGCAGCAAAGGATAAACGAGGATCAGTGTTTTTATTGTGGTGATCCGGGGCATATTATTAAATATTGCCCTAAGTATAGAGAGGCCCGGTTTGCTGCACAAGCAGCGAAAGGCAACCGTAGGAAGGAGTTGCAACTGCTCCTACCCTTAGACCATATTCAGAAGAGTGCGCGCACCATAAAGAAACTCCCAACCCACATGTGTCTATGGCAGACGTTGCTGGCCAGTGCCTAGATAACTGTCCAGAGATTACTTGTGTTAAGAGTCTCTCTAGGCACTTCTCTCACAAGCCTGGCAGAGGAGTTCAAGGAGAGAATACTGGCCTGGGCCAAGATGAAGAAAGACAATGAAGGACAACTAGTTTTAGTAGATGTAGAGGTCTTTAGAGGCAAAGTAGGGGCCCTTATAGACAGTGGGGCGACCTGCAGCTATATTAGTAGGAAAGCGGTGCACAAGCTGAAGTTAAATTTGAAGATCCAGACGTTACCCCATAGTCAATATCCTTGTAGACAACCGCACCATGCGAGTCGAGGATTATGTAGAGGGAGTCCAGGCGTACTTCCGCCTAGAGAAGGATGGGAAGGTAGAGAGAGTTCTCCATTCCCTGACTCTCGTCTTAGAAGATAGTCTTCCCTTCGATATGGTCCTGGGAATGGACTGGGGAGAGGCAGCAAGGGCCACACTCCACTTGAGAGAGCACGAGTGTAGGCTCCCTAGTCCATCAAGCGAAGTCAAGACTGCTCGCTTGTTTCATGTGTCAGGAGTAGACAACACCCTGGCACATTGTTGTCTCAGTGCTCCCGCGTTTGCACGATTGGTAAAGCAGGAGCAACTAGAAGAACATGTCCTTGTAGCCTATGTTAGGCCTGTCACTGAGCCTATAGAAGAGAAACCCATTGATCCGGCTATTGCCAAGCTGCTGGAGGAATTCACAAACTTAGCTAAGCCGCCTACAGGAGTAGTGCAGCGGCCCATCCAGCATAGTATCGAAATAGAGCCTGGCAGTAGGACTCCTAAGGGAGCCATCTACAGAATGTCCCCAAGGGAGCTAAAGGAGCTTCGCAAGCAGTTATATGAGCTCCTCGAAAAGGGTTGGATGAGGCCCAGTTCATCTGCATTTGGAGCACCTGTTCCTTTGTCCCCAAGAAGGAGGGAGAGCTCAGAATGTGTATAGACTATAGGGGTCCTAATGTTGTTGTCATAGTAAAGAATGCAGAGCCACTGCCCCGTATAGATGATTTGTTGGATCGGGTGCATGGCTGCAAATATTTCTCGAAGATAGATCTTTAGTCAGGCTATCATCAGATAGAAGTCCACCTTGATGATCAGTACAAGACAACATTCAAAACTAGATATGGACACTATGAGTTTATAGTAATGCCCTTTGGACTAACTAATGCGGCAACTACATTCCAGCGTTGTATGAACGATGTGTTTAGGCCGTGGCTAGATAGATTCGTAGTAGTTTACCTAGATGATATTCCAGTGTTTAGTAAGACCCTCCAAGAGCATGAGGGCCATCTGACGTAGGTCTTGGAGAAGCTGAGAGGAGCTAACTTCAAGATCAACGCAAAGAACTGTGAGTGGGCCAAGACACAAGTCCAGTACTTGGGCCACATCTTAGATGGAGATGGCATAAAGCTTGAGGACAACAAGATAGCAACGATTAGAGATTGGCCGACGCCCCTCATATTGACAAAGTTGCGGTCGTTTCTAAGTTTAGCCAATTACTATAGAAAGTTCGTTAGAAACTTTTTTACCATCGTTGCACCCGTTTGCAGGTTGTTAAAGAAAGAAACAATCTGGGAGTGGGGTATAGATTGTACGTCGGCCCTGAAGAAGTTGAAGCGGGCCTTGATAGAGTATCCAGTCCTCAAGGTAGCCGATCCATCATTACCTTTTGTTGTCACCACTGATGCAAGTCAGTATGGCATAGGTACTGTCTTACATCAAGATGATGTCAATGGGTATAGACCCGTAGAGTTCATGTCTGCTAGGATGCCTTCAGAGAAGGTAGCGACATCCACCTATGAGAGGGAACTCTACGCTCTCAGACAAGCATTAGATCATTGGAAGCACTACTTGCTTGGGAGGCACTTCAAAGTCTATTCAGATCACGAGACACTGAGGTGGTTAAAGACGCAAGCCAAGATGACACCTAAGCTTACTAGGTGGGCTGCAGAGATAGACCAATTCGACTTTGAGCTCAAGCCAGTCAAAGGAAAGTATAATGTAATCGCGGATGCTCTAAGCAGGAGAGCTGATTACTTTGGAGCGATAGTTCACTATCTGGATATAGGGCGAGACCTGCAGCAGAAAGTTAAAGAAGCCTATGCACAGGACCTTATCTATAGTGATCTCCTCGAGCGAGTTAAGGAGTCTCCAGAGTCTGAGCCAGACTACCGCACTACAGATGGGTTAATATTGGAGAAGACTAACATAGTTGACCGCTTGTGCATTCCCAACAGTGAAGAGATCCATAGCTTGATCTTATGGGAATGCCATGATACAGAGGGACACTTTGGTTGGCAAAGGACATTGGCTAACCTCGTTCGCGTGTATACGCGGCCTGGCATGAAGGCCGACTGCATAGAGTACATACGCAGTTGCAAGGTGTGCCAATGAAACAAGACCACTACGCGAGCCTGTCTTGGTCTTCTCAGACCACTACCTATTCCGACAGGACGCAGAGATTCTATATCTATTGACTTTATGGATGTTGGGGTCAGGAGGAGGCATGGCAAGAGCCAAGTCATGGTTATAGTTGACAGATTTAGTAAGTATGCAGTCTTTGTTCCTTTGCCCACAAAGGCACGCACATATTTAGTTATAGATAAGTTCGTTGATCATTGGGTCAGTGAGCATGGTCTTCCGCTGTCAATAGTTAGTGGCAGAGATACCAGGTTCACTTGTCAGAACTGGCAGGAGTTGATGAGAGTCTATGGCTCTAAGTTGTTGATGCCATCTGGCCGTCATCCAGAGATTAAGGGTCAGACTGAGCGGATGAACAAAGTTTTGCAGCAAGTTCTTGGAATGTATATAATATCCGATCAAGTCAACTGGGAGGAGATGCTTCCCAAGGTGGCCAGCGCATACAACAATAGCGTGTACTTAGCAACCTGTCGGACTCCCAACAGGTTACATAAGTCTTTTAGATCGCGCAGACTGTTTGAGGAACTGAAACGGGATCAGATCCAGAGGCTGTCGCCCAATACGAGGGAGTTCGCCATACAAAACGAGAAAGAGATTGCTACCGTAGTTGAGAACCTTAGGAAAGCCCAGCACAGAATGATAGAGCAAGCCAACAAGCATCGTTGCCCATCACAGTTCCAAGCAGGCAACTTAGTCTGGGTCAAGTCAAAAGAGTTCGCTCCTGAGGAAAATATCTCACGAAAGTTGTTGCCTACATACCGAGGACCGTGGCCAGTCTTTGAAGTCAAGGGAGGAAAGGATGGACCGTCCTACACAGTCAAGATACTAGCACACCTCCACATGTACCTGGTTTTTCATGCGTCAAAGTTGTTGCCCTGTACCACAAGCCAACAATTCCCATCACGAAGGTTCATGATCCCTACGAACATGGATGAATGCATGACATTGACCGCATAGTACATGAAGATGTGTTCAGAACAGGAGGTAGAGGTCGTCCACAGAAACAGTACAAGGTTAGATTTGCCTATGAAGAACAGGAGGACGACCGCTGGTTCACACAGATAGAGCTTCTAGAGACCACTCCCGATATAGTTCGAGCCTATGAGAGAGATGAGAAAGCGAAAGGTCCTGTTTTGGACTGAAGTTTTCTTGGAGGACCTCGAATTAGGCCGGCGGGAATGAAACGGTTTTCACCTTTGCAGTAGCAGATGCAGATCCCAGGGCTCGATCCCTAGACCTCACCTCACCCGCGTATAGTACCCCTGTGTCTTTGTACCCGTGACCTACGTTTTAGGAGTCAATTGTTGTATGTCGTAGGTCGATGTAGCTGTCGGGTCTTGAACAGTGGGTCTGTCGAGTAGGGGTCATTGTTGTGTAGAGGCCGTAGCTGTAGCAATTCTGAAAGGTCAAGGTCGTAGCTACTACAGTTCCGAAAGGCCAAGTTTGCAGGCTTCCGAAAGGTCTGGAAGTGGCCTTTCGAACGTAGCTCACAGCAGACCAGAGGCAAGTGGGCAAGTGGTGAGTCCAACCTTGCTTAGTCAGCGGTACTCAGTCCCAATCGCACTTAGTCCAATTAGCAAGTACCATGTGGGACTGTGTGCACCAAGGGCCCGGTGGAAAGGGGGCAGACCAGCGACCAACAGAAGTATAAATCAAGAGGCAGCGTCCAACCATTCATTCATTCCTGCGTGAGCCATGCGGAAGTGCTGCCCAGGCGACTTGTGCGAGGTGGTCTGCAAATGCCCGAAGTCGAAGTGGGTTGAAGGAAGGAGATAGCATCCAGTGTTAGTGGTAGTGAGCGTCCATAGCCGCCATGCTAGTGAGCGAGTGAGTGTGTGTGAAGTACAAAGTGAGTGCGTGTGGGATATCCAGGGAGATCCGGAGTTAAGTGAATGTAAACAGTTGATGTAAACACTGAGTTGATGTGTGAAGTGTAGGCGCTCAGTCGCCATAGCCGATCTGAAGCAAGTTTGTATCTGAATCGTGTGGGCGCCCAGCGCCAGTGTGTTTTGCCATTTGTTGCATGCATGCGAAATGAGAAGAAAGCGAATCTGATTTCAGCTGATTTATGAGTTTTGCCGTTAGAATGAATGCCTTGCTGAGATTCCCTCTTTGTGCTGAGTTTTCCAAGTCTGTGTGTGCGTGCTTGCTGGTTTGTGTGCTTGCCTGAGTGCTTGACGACTTGAGTGTGTGTGTGACCTGCCCGGTGTCGAGCGCATCGGTCCGGCACCACACAGGGCAGCGCGGGACCCTCCCGGTCGTGTCACGCAGGAGTCGGTCTTAATCCTCACCGCAAGCACATAATGGAGCTTCCGCAAGCCGCCCTCGCCGAGTGCGCCAGCCATACCTCTCGCGAGCCCCTACGACAGGATAGGGCCTACGCGAGGCACGTCTTACCTCCACCTTACGGGAGTTGTCACCTCCCCTCGGTGGGCGTATCCCCGCCGAGCTACCAGTCTACAGTACGAAAGTGAATCAGCTGCAATTGCAGAGGTGGACCAGCCGAGGGTGTTTCTCGTTCACTGTAGCATAGGGGGTACGCGCGGTAGTACGCGTCTATCGGACCCGCACGCGAACCGACATCTTGGGGGGTTGAAGTCCCAAGCTCGACCCGCCGTCGGTCGACTAGGACGCATCCCACACACCACGCGCACACCACTCTATAGAACATAAAAATAAAAACGTACACACCTACACATACATATACAGAACGACACGAAACAAAACAATGCAACAACACTCCTGGTCCCTTAGTAACCATCCCATAACTCTCCGATGCGGAAATTGGATAGGCGTCGAGCGCGAGACTTAGTGTAAAACCGCGCGGGCGCAGGGCAAACTCATATCGACTTGCAATGCAAGCATACGCAGGCAGTCGCAATGATGGCGTACTATGTAGTACCCATACTCCTGCGATCCTTGTTAATCTTGAGAGTTGCATTCGACACTCAAGTGTCGGCTGACACGCGCGTTGAGGGAATGATCTCTCGACGCTGGACAACCGCCAACTGCGGTTGAGAACCACACCCTCTTCTGCACCCTGAGGAGAGTGGGTGGTACACAGGTTCATACCTGTGGTGGCAATCGTCTCTTATGGCCCTGAAGACCAGCTCCATCATCCAGGGTCAGGAAAGGAGTCAAGGGGTTTGACTTTGACGGCTGCCACGGACTACAACGTCCAACTATAAAAATTAACAAGCAAAATCAATCAATAAATAGATAAACATCCCAACACTCGTATATCAAATCAGATATCGAGATAAAATAAAGGAAGGGGGAAACATAAACACCAGGTATGCAGACCGTGCGACACATGGTTGTCATTCTCACTGTCTTCAAAATATGGTCCATATAGCAAGTTCCAAAATACTAACCTGCATAAAACACAGGCACGCACAATAGCCACATTGTCATACACCAATGTGGTCAACTTTACTGTTCCCTGTAACTCACACCATGCCTCACACAGTCAAGCCCCAATCATAGTTCAACTTTCCATAAATCTCATAAATTCTTTAAAATGGCCATTAAAAGAAGTCTGGTTAAAACACTGAAAGAAACATATCAAATCTCAAGGCTAAGGCAATCAAGTTGAGGTACAGGTATAAGCAAAGTTGTGTCGTGAGGCGACAAGTCGACGATCAACCAACCGGCCTGTTATCCGTGATAACAGTAATTAATCCTCGTAGGATCAAGCTGAAGCTAGTCCAAATCCTGGATCGAATGTCCAAAGAAGACCTATATCATATAACAGGTCAAAATCCAAGTTAAATTGTCAACGTATGGAGATCAAATCCCCATGACCCGTTCTCACTCAAGACTCTCCTGATAACTAAGCCTAGGTCTATCTCTAAGCGAGTGTTCAAAGAAAGGTAGACCTACCGCAACATCTCCCCCATATAAAGTGGATTGCCAGAGTCGCCACCTGTCAAAATATAATTTGACTCCTTTAATCTAAGAAAATTTCGGCACCGCTTCTCGTAGGAAAAGTGCCTTCTCAGAATTTATATCAGCCTAAATATGAAAACAGAAATAATCTTAAACTTTCCAAAGTCAAATTTTGTCAAACTCCTTGAATTAGCAAAAATTTGGGCAGCACCCCCCTTAGAAAAGGAGACTTCCTTGATTTTTACTAAGCCACACTAATGGTTAATACGTGGTGTTATTTTCGGCGAATTTTTCACCGAAACTGTCATATTTCTCTGGGGTTTTTTTTTTTTTTTTTTTTTTTTTTTTTTATATGAATTAGGGTTTATTTGTATTCATTTTCAACGTATTTGGACCAGTAACAAAGAATTTGGCAAAAACACCGAATTTGGCGAATCGTTTGGTGAACTCCGAAAGCTACTCCGAATAGGGTTTTATAGTGTTTTTGAGATTTTTTTTCCCTTTTTCTTTGCCTGTTTGATTTTTTTATGTTTGTATTATGATCTTGCATTGTTTGTTCTTGAAATGTTTGAGGACATTGTTTGTGGTGATGCGGCGAAAACCCCCGAATTTTGAGCCTTCCATTAACCATCTCTAAAAAATCAGACAAGTTGAACTTTGAAAAGTCAAATTTTTACTAACACCTTGGTTTTGTAGAAATTTCGGGAACGCTTTCCGTAGAGAAAATAGCTTACCAAAATTTATACAAATGACTTTGACTTCTCAAGGTCTAATTTGATCTACCTCCCTGAATTAGCAAAAATTTGGGTAGCACTCCCTTTAGAAAAGAAGATTCTCCAAATTTGACGAACTCTTTGGTTTTGTAGAAATTTCGGCACCGCTTCCTGTAGAGAAAGTGGCTAACCAAGATTTATACAAGACCAAGTATAATAAAAGATCCCAGAAAAAATGCAGAAATTGACCTAAGTAAAAAAACTTAGCTCAGAAAATGTAGGAATTGAAACTAACTCTTATGGCTCTAGCATGTGGCGAGCAACTAAAACAACTACCTATCAAACTAAAACTCAGACTAAATAGTATTCGCACTCAGTCACATGCAGGCCAAGCCACAAAGGTAAGTACTCTGACCATCCCCAGTCATTCAACCCTTATACTCAACTTACTTATGGCATAACGCTAGACCATTCGGCTTGGAAACAATGCCCAGCGTGCCTTAAGATATACACGAACAGGTTGCACAACTACTTCTTTATTGGGCATATGACTAAGCCATTCGTCTTAGAAACAATGCATAGTCGCCCTGAACAGTTTAATATCCAAAATTTAATAACTTTCTACCTTTGTTCTCAAAAGAAAATGTAAATATGGGCAGGGGACTGAACCATTCGGCTTGGAAACAATGTTCAGCTTGCCCAAATTACTTTCAATTATACTCAATGATTTCCCTTCTCTTCTTAGTGATATGGCTTAGCGCTGAACCATTTGG